AATAATAATAAAAATAATAATAATAAAAATAATAATAATAATAATCAGGCGTTCGATTAAATGGCATCGAGTCGGATAAAAAAATTGGAAATAATAATAGTCACCATCTCAATTCCAATTCCTAATAATAATCAGGACTAAGAAGACCTTAATTATAGACCAACAAAGTATCATAATAGTTATCAGTTGAGAAAAAAAGAGCAACTTCTTAAAATAAATAGTTTATTTAATCTATTGAGTTAATCAAACCTGTTACTTAAGTTTTAGCTCCAAAGATTGTTACTACTAAAGAACCACCAAGAAAGTTTTGAAAAATATTGCATTATAATAATATTAATATTTATGATAAATAACATTTTTTCTTTTACAAGTACTAATTTTAATTAATATAATTAAGAATTTGTTAGTAAATAAAAATATTATCAAATCTTATTTATAAAACAAATTATTGAAATTTTGATTATAATAAAAACCTATTAAATCTAATTTAATTTGAAAACTTTTTAGACTCAAATTGATTAGAATTGTTTATAGAAAAAGAGTATAGGACAATTGTTAAAAATTTTTACATTTTTTAATATTTTCATATAGTAATACCCATTTAAGAATATGATTGAAAGAAAGATAAAATATTTTATAAAAAATCTGATCAAGTTGTTGTGTGATAATATTTTAGTAATTCATCATATGTTCTTGATATTTAAGCATAAAGAAAGCAAATAGTAGTTTAATATCATTTCAATATATTAGATTTTAATAACAAATATTTAAAGTTTTTCATAGTTTTTAATGAGTTTTACTATGACTTTAAAATTACTCTCATCTATAAATTTCAATAATTGCCAATGGTTGAAATGAATATTTCTAGTTGATATTGATATAGGTTTGTTTATTTTCCAAGAATTTATTAAAAATTAAATGTACTTAATGTTATAAAACATAAGCCAAAATAGATTTAGTGATTATATATCTAATGAAATTTAATTAAAAACATTATATATTAAGTTAATTCTGAAAATAAACTCATATCAAAAGAAGTTATTCTTAAAAAAAAGAAATTTAATTAATTAATATATATGATAACTAATCATCCAGCTTATCCAAAAAAAGAGATTGATAAATATTATTTGCAAACTAAATTGCCAGAGTATTGACTTTGTTAATGTAGATATCAAACAGTTCCTATGAATGAACATTAAAAAAAAACCCATGACTATTATAATGATAATACACATATTTGGAATAATCCACATCAAGCTAAATCAAATGCAAAGGTTTTTAAATAATTAAAAGAACAACATGACAAAGGTGAAAAGAGAATTAAGAAATTGTAAGAGATGGAATAGAAAGAGAAATAAGTGTTACAACATAATAAAATAATATACTATAATATGGCAAGAGAAGAGGATCTAATGAGATTGCAATAACGAAAATTAGAAAGAGGTAGTCTACAAAACTTAAGTTCACAGCGCAATGATGTTCAAGTAGATACAATTTCTGTAAAGCCAATCCTTTCAAGAACAGCATTACTGGGTCGACCAGATCATCTATGGAACAAACTGAATTAACAATCTTAAAAATATGTTAATCTATTAATCAACCCAAAGATTTTATAAATGGAAGAATAAGGAGTAAAGGCAATAAGTGATAAAATCTAAAAGGATTTGGAAATTGAATAAATAAAAGAGGAGTTAAGAATACAGAATATGGAACATATTAAATAGTAAAGTACACTCAGAAGAATGACTAATCTTGAAATGGAATAAAGAAGTGGTATTTTACCTTCCAGATTAAGTTTATAAAGAGTAGCAACTGCTTAAACAAATTGTAGACAACCTAAAGACGTTATAGAATCTACTTTGTAATAATTGGAACATTAATAGTAATCCTAAACTATCCAATAATTACAAAATTAAATAATGAATTCAGCCTAATATAATTAGACAAGCAGACCATATACAGTTGGAAGTGTAAGATAATTTATAATTATTTAAGGATTTTAATTCAATTTCATTCAATGCTGGATAAGCAACTAAAAATGAACAACAAAATAATCCTAATCAAAATCAAACAGCTCCAATTTTTTTGGTTAATAGGTATTAAATTATATTTATTTTAGTCAAAAATCAAAATCTGTATCTACACTTTCTCACAAGCATCCACTTGATAGAACAGAATTTAAAGGATTGTTATTAGCATAAGCAGTTGAATAAGCTGAGAGTAATTTTAGTAAAACCCTTAAAGCCAATAGTTCTTTATTAAAAGAAACTTCGATTCACCTCACAAGGATTAAGTAATCGATGATTCCCAAAAAAAGAATATAAATAAAATGTAATAACAACTTTGAGTAAAATAAAAATGATCAAAATGATTTGTAGATTGTAAACAACATGTTGGACAGTTTTGAAAGGAAACTGTATCGACCCAACTATTTCGATGATGAGAATTTGTGATAACAACAATTTATATAAATATTAATCTAAAATTCATTTATTAATGCCCAAAAATAAAATATATCATCAATTTCTAGATATTGATTTTGATTTAGATTCATAATATCCAAAATCTGAAGGAAGTCTATATTAACCAGGTCCTGGAGTTTGCATACTGGAAACTGAATAAGTTTTCCTTATATCATGAGGAAAACTTCTACATTTACTAGAATGTAAATTAGAAATTGGATAAAATCCAGTCTTTTAAAGATTATATAAATAAAATTACGCTTTATATGCCAATATTGTCTAATTTATAATTTCCAGGTCCTGGAACATCATTACTATCTGAAATTAATAGAATAATTAATTTACATTATTTATTGTCAAATCTCTTTGATCTAGGAGGATTAAATAGAGTAGCACAGCTATTAGAAAATTTGGAAATTGGATATCTTCCTTTGGAATCTATTCCTTAAACAGAATTATATGCTCCCGGTCCTACAATATTTAAACTTGAAAACCTGGAACATTTTTGGTAAGAATCATGATATCTTATTAATTTTTTGGTCGCATCGTATATCTTGTTTAGCTGAGTGTAGATTGACTTTCGTACTTTCCCGGACCTGGAGTTACTCTATTCAATCCACCCATAATCCCAGTTTACCACATTTTCTAGAATTAACAATTTAATATTACATCTCTACTCACTCCAAAAGGATAGCCACGATTTTTAGTTTTATTGATATCTACTTCCCCTACTATCTTGTAAGTACCAGGTGCAGGTGTCTTTGGTCCATTTTTTGTGAAATCATATCTAGAATGTTTATAAGGAGGTTTTACTTATTAGAATAGCCTACACCTGCAGCTCTTTTTTATTTCTAGTCTGGGAGATCATAAAAAGCTACTGCACAACTAATAATTAAAGGCACAGTTACTTATTCGGATTTTCTAATTTGCCAAAACGACTGCTTTTAGGGAAAGACCATAGTTATTTGGCAGTACTCAAATTCAGAGGTGATTGACTAATTTATTGACAGGTAGAGGCTGTGATTGACATTTAATAAAATTAATAAAAGTAGAATAATAATTATTATTTTTATAAATTGGAAGTGATGATCAAATTTTCAAAGTCTCACTGGGGAAACTGATTTAACAAGTGTGAATGTTGGATAGACATAAACTTATTTTGGTTGTTATTACACTTGAATATTTCTTTAAGGAGTATTAGGTAATCTCTTAATGTATTATTTATTAGCTTATGGTTATTTTTATTATAGAGATTAGAATAGTTAAGTGAGCATTTATTTTTATTCAGCTAATTCTTATCTAATTTCTTAGATATACTTAGTATTTGGATCTTCTGATTGGATTTGAGTACAATTACCATTACATGAATGGTAATTTGAGTCATCCATTTTTTTGGATTATTATTTTTCAAATGAAGTTTATAAATTCTTTTCATGAATAGTATTTTTATGAGATACCAAAGAGATGCAGTTTTAGATATTTCCTAAAGGTACATCATTTCCATCATTCACTTTTTATATAGATTATTTTGAACTTAATGATTTGGTTGAAAATCCATAGTTTTAAGTTTCTTATTTTATGTTTGGCTTAATTTTAATACTGTTGAATTTATTAAGTAAACTATGAATCTTATTTTTATGATCATTATACGCAGTTGTATAATCTACATTGAATTTACTAGGTAGAGTTTTTTGGGAACTTAATTATTGTTATTCATTTTCTTCATTTTAAACATAAATAGGCTTTATAGTAGATCTTCTTTCCTCACTAGGTGGAGATCTATTTAACTCTTTTTACACAACTTCACTTAAACATTGAAGATTTTTATTATTTTATTGTATAATTGATTTAGTTCTCTATGCAGTAGTAGATTAGATATCAGCAAATACTGTCTTCTTTTATTTAAAATCAGAATTATATTTTTATTTCTAAGCTTCTAAAATATTTTTTAACGTTAACATACGATCATTAGTTTATTATTATTATTATTTTTATTATTATTATTGTTATTATTATTATTATTTTTACTTAACTTCATTCTAAGATAATGATCTTTTTTAATTATAATCACTATTCTTCCTAATTTATTATTGTTATTCTTCAACTTAAAAAGCTGCTGTTTTTCTGGAATTCTTGAGACTTGGAATTTCAAGTAAGCCAAATGAAATTTTATTTTCAAAATAATCTTCTGTTGGTTAAGTTTTAGTTCTTGATTACTAAGTATCAGTCTTTCTTTATGTCTAATTTTCATCATGTTGGTCCAATATAAACTCATAGATCTGATGTTATTAATCGAGATTTCTTGTATTAAATTAACTTTATAGTTTCCTTATTTCCTCCACAGATTTACTTAAAGTAGTTGCTTTAGTACTATATTTTCTCAAAGGAGGGTATTATTATGATTTGATTTCAGTTAAGGTATTAACTCGAAGCCTTACGAATTGCATCACTTCAAATAATCTTATATATCCCAATATTATCTCCTTTGATATTGGAGTTATTATGTATTACTAATTAACTTTTTTAGAGAATGCAACTAACAAAGATATAATGACGACTTACACACTAATTCTTGCGGAGTTTCCATTTATTCCAAATATCCGCTGCTCTTGATTTCCACCAACTATCCCTGATTATATTTCCCTTTCACCCATTAAATTCTCTGATCCTTAAATACCATCAATCCATTCCCATGATATATACCTTATTGGAATTAGCCTTGATAGATCTCATCCTATTAATCTAATCTACCCAAACCATTAAGTTTTCCTTCAACAAACTATCCACATTGATAGAATAAATTTGAAATCTCTATTCCTAAACCATTTGGTAAATTTGCTTTTCCAACATTTCCATAGTAGATACAATGATTAAATAACTATATTTGTAAGTCCCCTTACTGTAGTTTACTTATTCCCTATAATATTTGATCAGCTTCTTATGTACAATCATGAGTTATCTAAGCACTTGATGATTGTATTGTGATCTTTCTTTCTCCTTCCTAAATGAATATAGCCTCTCCTTTGTCGAATTAACTATAAAACACTCTTGTCCCAACCTTTATTACAATATATCCATGAGCAACTCCTCTCTTGAAACCACCTTAGATGATGATCTACCCACCTAAGAACAAGATTCCTTATCCATCAATCAAATCGTTTTTCCACTCTCCATAATAAGCAGAACCAACATCCCATAAGTAAACTCCAAGCCCATGTTTTTGTTATTTTGCATTTAATCCTCCTTAATAAATTCCATCCTTATGTTCCTTCATCCGTTAATATAAAAAATATCAATATGTATCATCATAAGATTAAATAATTTTAACATACACATAAATTATGAACATTCTTTATTTAATTTGAGATGACTAGAGTTATTTCTATCATCTAAAGTATGTATATATATGATACAAGAAATTAAGTTAAAAATCATAATATTTAATAATTGAATAAATCAAAATGTAAGGAATAGCAAATATCCCTGTAGAAATGAGCAAGACATTGGATGATAATTATAAGATGATCAAGGATCAATGCAAAAATGAAATGTGCAATTAGATGATTAATAGTTTATTAGATTAAGTAATTTAAAAATGTAATAATTAGAAATAAGCACCTCATATTCGATTATAATTTCTATACAATATTCATTAATGGGATCAGAATATTTGCTTATCTGATTTATGTATCAACCAATTAGAAATGAACATAATCAATAATATCAAATATGTATTCATATTTCATTATGATAGAGTATGGGTAATCATTAGATCAAATATTAAGATAAACACATTTATTATAGATGAATAAAATAGAACTTTCTTGTGAATTTATGAGACCAATCCCAACCATATATCATCATTAAAGTTTTGATTATATCCAATTGGATTTAACTCATCAAAATATATGGGACTATAACGTAAGTCCTTAGATAAAATTTCGCCATTTATTGTGTTAAGCTTAATGTACAAAACTTTAATAGGGGGATCATCAAATGATTTTAAATCTATTCAAACCAGAATATAAGATTGATTGGAATCAATTCAAACTTTTAGTGGAGTAGAATCCATAATTAGTGAGTGATCTTATGAAAAAATTATATTTAATAGGTGTTAATGCTAACGAGTATATTTAAAATATGATTATTTAGATATTTAGAATATTTAATTTAGATAAAAATTAGTATTCAGACATTAGAATTAGTGAATTAATTATCGAAGAGCATATGTCTTCCAGACCAATTTCTTAATATGTTCATAACAAAATGCATTGTAAATTGTGAAGAATTCAAGATTGTAAAATAATTAATTGATTATTTAGAATTAACCATAATAATTAGCTAGATAAGTGAGATTGGTGTCAGTATTTATCCGTACATTGATTAAATAGAAGACATTTGATCCAAAGAAGATATTTGTAGAATTATAAGGATTTTGCTTGGAATTTTCATCAATTCTAGAGGCAACCCAATTATTTAAAACTATTAAAAATGCAGTATAAGAATAATGAGATATTTATATGAATATGTATACCCCAAAAATTAATTATTCAGTAGTTTATCTTAAATTTTATTAAAGATTAAAGAATATAATTTATAATCATATATTTAGATTGCTTCAACTAACCTTAATGAAAGATCTATTTACTTAAGCAAATTAATTTTTATAATATATATTATTTAATCAATATTTTGTTATATTATAATCAATCACAAAAATATTACAGACCTTTCTCCTAATCATTAGAATGTAAATTATCATTACAAAATTTACATAAGAAGACTGGAGAAGAACCTGGTATTAATGTATCTGAAATACGAAATAATTAAGCTGATCTTCCACAACCATCACATCCTCGAATTTTGAGTGGTGCTTTAAATATGGTTCTGGCATAAGGTGAATTAAGTTCTTCATCTTAAGTCAATGAACGTATTTCATTTATGTAAATTCTATGCTTGCATTAATTTAAATGTGTATATGTATATTGTTTACATAACACAAATTTGAGATGACCTATGATATCTTCTTTTTTTCCAATGCTAATTGAAGGAGGATCAAAAATATGTAATTCATTTTAATAAAACATTTTTTCAGTAGATTCAACAGGACAATCTATTTCTTAGATTATCTATTCTAGAGTTGCATCATTGGTAGCTATAATAATTTACATTTTCTTATTTGTGAATGGATGATAGATAGTAAAATGAATCATAAATTTATCTTAAATATGATTAGATATCTATTTAATTTTATGTAATTAATATACATTGGGCTATATTGATTTAAGGAACCGAAATTCCTAATCTTATCTATGATATTTCTATAAAATTACGCAAATTGATAAGATTATAATTTACATTTTTTTAATTTGTCTTATTCCTACTTAAGAGAGGGGAATCCTTATAAGGCATGAATATATGCACAATTAATAGCTTCATTCTTAACTTTTCTGATTTACATGGCTGCAATAACAGATTGTGTATAGAAATTAGTAGTAATCAATTCTGCATGATTCTGATATTCTAAAAGTTGATTTTTCTTAAGCTCTAAATTATCTGATGGTTTTTAATCTGGAATTTCATTTTCGTTCTATTCCTTTATTGTTATTTGATACTAATTGTTCAACTTTTTATAAGATGGAATGCAGTGTTGGAGATTTATAAGGTTTGAGATCTATAGTATGATTACTAGAATTCTATTTTGCAACTTCGATAAGTTCTGCAAAGGAATTTTACAGACCATTAAAATATCTAAATAAATAGGATTGTTTAAATTACTCGATTGGACAGATTTCTTATTATTCTTACAGCATTATATTAATAAATTATAAAAATAAAATGGAATCACACAATTCAGGTTCAAGGAATTCAAGGACATCTAGATAATCATTAGCTGAAGTTCTTTAGGCTCATGAAGAATAGTAGGAATAGGAATTGAAATCGAAATTGAAAAAAGCTTAAACATTAAGTTAGAAAAAAATAAGATAGCAATAAATCTAAACTTTGAAAGAATAATCTTTAAGAGAGATATTGGGATTTTTTACAAATCAAATAGATGTTAAAAGATTTTTAAAAAACAAAAAGAAATTATTAAGTAGTGATGATACAGAGTAATCAGAGAAATATTAAGATGAGTTTTTAAATCCAAATGAATTTTAAGAAATGAAACATATTTATGGAGATTGTAATATTGGTGATCTTGTAATTGTTTTTCCGAATCCAGATGATGAAGAAGCTTTAGCAGGAGAGATAACTTTTTTAGAAGCTGAAAAGGTTTTTGATAAATTTATTACAGTTATAACAGATGAAGTTTCTAAGTCATATTTAAAAAAAGAAAGGGATTCATTTTTATTATCATATCTTACTTTAGGAGATTATGTTAAACCAGAGAAAAAGAATAAGAAATAGGATGATAAGAAATAAAATAAAGCTAATAATGAAAATAAGAATTAAGAATAAAATAAGAAAGAAATTCAAAAAGAGGATAACTAAAATAAAGAAAAATAAAATTAAGTTGATAATCAAAATAATTAAGAAGAAGCTAAATTATTATAAAACTAAAAAGATTAACCATCAAAAATTAATTCAATATAATCTTAACATTCTGAAAATAAACCTTAAGAAGAAACTTCATATCAAAAATATTAAAAATTTATGAAACTTTATGAAGTATAATTATAATTAGAGGAAGAATAATATTAATTATAAAGAAATGTTGCAAAATAAAATTAAGGAGAATTATTTTCTGAAGTGAAATTTTCTTAATAATTTTATAGATAATGGTAAAAATAAAAAAAATAAGAAGATTTAATTATTGATCCACTTAAAGAATTACTTAAAATTGATCTTAATAATATAAAATAATTTAAAAATATTAGTAAATAATTAAGCAAAGGAGGATATTTAGTAAAAAAAATGAATGATGAAGTTGATTATGATTGGATTTGTTAAAATACACCTCCAAAAGATTTTTTAACTCTTGTTCGTATAACAGTTATTAATAAATTATGTAGAAATGCTTTTGTACATTGTAGATAATTTGTTTCAACAACTGGTAAACATATTTTTGTTGTTGTTAAAAGTCATCCATAAGTTATTACTAGATAAGCTTAAAAAATGAAAATAACCAAATAAATTGAAATGGGATTTGCAGATTTATTTTCACTTGAACCTGTAGATAATTAATTTAGACCTTTGAGATTGAAAAGTTATGTTAGAATTATTGATGATGATTTAAGAAATATATTTGCTTAAGAAGAATATGCTTAATCTAATGAACCTGAATTTGATTATTTGAATTGTTAAGATGTTGAAAATTATTGTTTAAAATTATATATCAAAGTAAGATAATGGAAAGGAAAAGATTTAAAATATAATGTTGTTAAAAAACAAAGAGATGTTGATAAAATATTAAAAGAAGTTGTTACAGATTTAAATATAGATCAAAGTCATGAAAAAGTTGAATTAATTGATGATATACCAATCTCTGATGAAGAATGGCAAGTTTATTATCTCTATTTAGAAAGCATATTATGTTTTGGTAAAAAAATATAATGGGCAAAAGAATAAAAAATGAAGGAAGTAATAGAAAATATTGCTTTTCTCTATAAATTAGTTTTTCTTAAAGCTTTAGGTGATGCTAATTAAATATGGTATGCTGAAAATTAAAGTTTTTTTAGAGAACTTAAAGGAGAGAAATAGATTATATTCAATTTATGGGGAAGACTCAATATAACTCCAGTTGCACCATTTACAGAATATTTTAAATCTACTGGTAGTGCAGGTTCATCATTATGGAGAAAATATGAAATTAATGAAAATAAACATCGTTCAGAATTTATTAATATGGAGAAAATAAAAATATCAAATTCTATTGTTTTAAAACACATTAATATCTTAAAGATGTTATAAATGTAATATATTTTTGCTTATTTTCCTATTCATGATTTACATCAATTAAAAGGATAAGGAGATAAAAAGAAATAATTTTTTGAGCCTTTAAAAAAGAATGGATTTATTATAGACAAGGAACCTACTGAAGGTGAGAAATACTTAAGAGATTTATTTAAAGAATTAGCAGATGAAGCTGAATCAACAGATTTTGATTCTGAAAGTTTAGTATAAGAAAGTTAATTTAATTATAGAATTCCATGGTTTGTTCCTATTGATTCAATAAGAGATTATTTTGGAGAGAAGATTGCTTTATATTTTGATTTTTTAAGTTATTATGCTAAATAATTATGGTATATGGCTATTGTCAGTATAATAACATAAGGAATAATGTATTCTGCTACAATAGAATTAAGATAAACAGCTATTATTGGATTTTCTATAATAATTATTATTTGGAGTACTTTTTTTATGGAATTTTGGAAAAGAGAATAAGTATATTTTAGTGTAAGATTTGGATAATAGAATTTTGAAGCTGATGAAGCAGAACGTCCAGCATTTGAAGGAGATTTTATAAGATCAGTATTAAATGATGATTTAAATGAAGAATTTTATTCTCCTTTTAAAAGAAAAATGAAATAACTTTTAGCATTATCTATAAGTGCTATTATAATTGGATGTGTAATTGGTTGTGTGATTGGAATCAATATTCTAAAAAATACATTAATTGAATAATAACTTGATTAAAATCTATCTAATACAATTCCTAGTATTCTTTAAGCTGTTTCTATTAATTTTTTTAATTTCATTTATAACAAAGTTGGTTAATCCTTTAATGTTTTAGAGAATCATAAAATATTATCTACTTATGAAAATTCTCTTGTAGCTAAATTCACTATTTTTAGATTTGTTAATAAGTAATTATATATTTTATTAATTAAATAGTTTCATTTAATTTTTTATTACATCCTTTTTATCAAGTTACTTTGTCTAACTTAAATTATGTTAAGTTAATTTATCTATCCCAAATGATTGTTTTTAAATTCTATCTAATTAGATGACAACTATATTCTTAACAAATATTATATCACTTTAAATTCCTAAATTAGTTGCTCCAATTATAAAAGCATTTATTTAAAATGTAATTAATATAATAATATAATTATATAGTTATTAACAAAAAAGGATGAAAAATTAGTTGAACATCCATTTAATTTGATTGATGAAGAAATTGAAAGATAATTAAAATTAGAACCTTATCAAACTAATGAAGAAGTAGATGGAAGTGTAAATGACTATATGGAATTAGCTATTTAATTTTCATATCTTTCACTTTTTGGTTTAGCATTTCCTGCTTGCTATATTTTAGCATTTATTTAGAATGTACTCAAACTCTAAGTTGATAAATATAATTTCTTTAATTATTCAAGAAGACCATTCCCTTAAGGTGCATCTTCTATAGGAAATTGGTTGATTATATTTGAAATGATATCATTTCTAGCAATATTCACAAATGCTGGTTTGATTGTTTTTACTTCAGAAATTATTAAAGAAAACTAAGTTTAAGTATTTACTACACTTTTAATTGTATTCTTAACACTAAAATATATTATCAGATTTTTAGTACCTGATGAACCTGCAGAGGCTCTTGTATTAAATAGAAGACATGAATTTGTTGTTGAAAAAGCAGTTAAAGTAAATGATAAATTATATCTAATTATTTTAGGGATTTCAAACTGAAAGTAATGCCAGATATTTAATGTAAAAAATTAATAGATAGATTGGTGGTCCAAAAGAGACTATAAGTAGTGAGGAAGAGTATTGATTTTAATAGATTTTCTTTTAATTAATTTATTTTCTATTTTTCCAATTATTTTATCACTTTTTTATTTTAAATGTCGACTTAGCCTAAATAGTATTAATTTTCAGAAGTTAAAGGAAATTTTATGTTTTATCTATGATTTTAGATGATTAAGAATAAAGAAAGATGAGGATAATAACAAGAAAAAGAAGATATATTTTTAATAAAGATTTTAATCATAAATAAAAACTGTGAAATCTTAATAGAAAGCTACAAAATTTGGTGAAGAAAAAGAATAGATATAAAATATATTAGTAATTGTTTCAAACATTATAGAAATATAAGTTGATAAATTTAAATTGATTATAGTTTCAAGAAAACCTTTTTCTTAAGGTTTTGCGACTATAGGAAATTGACTGATTATAATTAGAAGTAATAAAATTTTTAGGATATTCTCAAATTTTGGATTAATTTTCTATGCCTTCTAAACTACTTAAACTGATATTAGATTATTATATTTTAAATTTTACTAGTAGTTTTTAAGCATATAAATATTTTACACCATTTTTAAAACCAGATGAACCAAAATCAGCTACAATTCATAATAGAAAACATTAATTTATTGTTGATAAAGTAATTAAAGTATGTTCTATAATTATTTAAAGATTTTTCATAAACCAAATAAAAATCTTAAATTCCAACTAAAATTAATTTAAAAATTGGAGGTGTCATTTATTCACACTAAGTTTCATAAACATTCAATCAAGATGAAAGTAGTAATAAAAATGAAGAAATAGGTGAATAAATAATTAAAAAAGATTTAAATATGTTTTTAATTCAATCGTTAAGATTTGTTTTTTTCATTGAATTATATATGTTATTAGATAATAAATATCGAAATATTTAATAATGTAGAATAGGAAATCTTATAATTGATATAATGATTACATATCTTTAATAAAAAGAATAAAAAAATTTTGTTTTACTAATTTATATTTATCTTATAACATTATATAAATATTTCTTGAAAGATCAAGTTCAAATACATAAGGCTACAATTTTATCGATAATTTAATCATCTTCCTTGTTTTTTCTTTTCAATCCTTTAATTTGTAATTTACTCATCTTTTTATTAATTTTTTTCATTTCTAATTTTGGATAACTATGTTCATTTTGTTTATTAGACCAATAATCAATCAGAAGATTACCTGAATAAACTTCATATGCCTTATATTCAAGTTGTTTCATGTAATTATTTAAATATATTAATTAATAAAAAATGTATTAATGTTAAAAAGTATTCTAAAATGAAGAGGAAGCCAAGGCCGCTGCTAATCTAATTATTATGGAAATATTAGGTAATCCAAGTTATTAGGAAGATGAAAAGTTTGATAAATTACTTAATTAATTTATTGAACAATAATTGGAATTAGATAAAAAGATTTAGAAGATGATTCAATCATAAATTGATGCACTTAATAAAACAAAGAATTTTATGGATTAATGCTTTAATAATGTTGAAAAATGCGAATAATAAATAGAGATTCTAAATTCAGAATTTGATAAAGATGCTCAATTTCATAGAGAATTAGTTAGCTATGAAAAAATATTTTTTTATCGTAAAAATATAGGATTAATGCTTGATTAAATGAAATATATATTCAGAGTTTAAGAAGAAATTGATAAAATGAATTCTACATTTTAGAGTGGAAATTGTGACTATGAAAATCTTCACTATAAATTAATTGCTTTAGTTGATATTAGAGATAATATCATAGAAGCTGTTAATACATCTCCTTAATCTAAATAAGATTTAAGTATTATACTTAATGAATTTAAATGTCTTTCTGAATTTGAGAATAAGTTTTATGATAAGATATATGAGATCCTACTTACAACAATTGAAGCATCTATCAAAAAACCTTAATAATTGATAAAAACATTATAAATAATTGAAACAGCTGATAAATCTAGAGAATTAAGAAAAAAGGAATTGATTTATAAAAAAAGAGCACTTTAAACAATTGAATAAGGAATTGATGAGAAATTTAATTAAAAATTGAAAGATGCAAAAGATGCTGTCTAAATTTTAGAATAATCTAAATTTTCATCTGCTGATTTAATTTTGGCATTTGATCATACTGTTAAATGTTTTCCAAAACATTATAATATATTTAAAGTTATTGAAGATTAATATAAAGTAAATGTAGAAAAAAGAATTCTTCCTTTTCTTGAAGATGAATAAAAAGTTACAGAATCTTTTGGTACTTTAATCAATTTACTAAGTTGGGTGGATTCTTATGAATAATTATTAAGTAGAGTTGGTGAATAAAGTGAATCATATGTAGCTTTAAGATGTAGAGTTAAATCATATATGCCTATCTTTTAAGATCATGTAAATAATCTAATTATTGATTATTCTGAAAAGGCTATAAGAAAGGATAAGAGTGAATAATAAACTTTAGAAAATATCACTAAACTTATTAGAACTAAATAAGATTTATTAACTTACTTTCCAGAAGATATATTCCATTTTATCAATTAATAATTAGATATTTTAGGTCCAAATTTAAAAGGAGAAATATTTATTGAATTTATTCGTTCAGTCTGTGGTACTTTATCAGAAGTGTTGAAAAAGGAATGTAGAGATTTTATAAATGAACTTCCTAGTAATGAATAAGAAGGAGAAGTTTCACCTCTATATCTATTAGTTTTATAAACCAATAATTATTACAAATGTATGACATATTCTAATGAAACAAAAGAATATTGTTTAAAATTTTGTAATGAATTAATATCAGAAAGAGTCTAATAGATATTTTATTAAGATTTAACAGGTGGTTTTAATGAAATAATTAATTTATTGTTAGAAAAATCTTGTAAAATGGTTTTTAATGAAATTAATGATTAAATTATACCATTTTTATTTTCACCTAAATGGTAAAATGAAAATTTAATAGATTAAGCATTATTAACAATTAAGGATTATCTTTAGGATATTTAATTACTAATGTTAAATTAGATTCATTTTAATAAATTAGTCAAATTGATATTCAAATAATTAATCAATACTTATGAAGAATAATTATTATATACTGTATAATTTATTGCAGGTATTCCTAAAGGTATCTTATAAATTTGATAAATATTTAGGATTCTTTCCAAAATTGTTAACAAATCTAAGTTTTGTAAATGAATAAGACAAAGATAAAAAAAAGAAAGAAAAAGATAAGAAGGCTGCTATTTAAATGATACTTTCTAATAAAGAGTTAGTTGTACCATAAATGTAAAGAGATAAAGATGTCATATTGAATTCTATTGAATAAGATTTTATTGCATAGGTTGGTAAGACAAGTGCCTAACAATTTGATAAGATTTTAACTACTCTTATAAAATCAATTAATAATCCAAAAAGTGAAATAGATGGATTACTTTAACTATATCCATAAAGTTTTGAATAATATTCTATGTATATATTGGAAGTAGTTTTGTGGATGAGAGAAGATTGCGATTCAAAATATAAGTAATAAAAAATGGAAATATTAAATAATTTAATTAACAAGAAATGATGATCTTATTACTTATTTAAAATAATTACATTATTTGATTTTTCATTTATACAAATTAAATTAATGATTAAAAGAACCTTTAGGTGTATTTTATTAAGATAACTATTATTAATTTGGAAAAAGTTAATCTGATGTGTAAGGTAATCTTATTGTATTAAATTTTTAATTGAATGATTAACTCTATAATTCATTCTCTAAATTTCTAATACGATTGTCTTATTAGATTAATTATTCCTATATATATAAAAATAGATATATACTCTTAATTTAGTAATTTCGAATTCCAATTAATTATTTCTATCTTATAAAATCTAGTTTTACAATTTTATTTAATGGTTTTCTATATAAATTATATTATTTAATACCCAAACTAATAGAATTGACCTATTTTTCATATAGAATTAAATCATTATGCATTTCTTTCATTTTTGTAAAATTACTATTTAACTCATTTTTATTTACAGTATCAACTTAGGAATATTATTCAAGTTAGCTTTTTAATGCTTAATTTTATTGATTTAAAGTAAAAATGATAGCATCTCTTTTTTATAATTCTCCTTCCATATTTTAAAGTTAATTTTATTGTTAATCTTAAATTGACTTCATTTCTATTTATTTATGTTGAGCTTAATTTATGCTTTAATCTAAATTTCCTTGTTTTTTTTTCAATTCTTAATCAAGGAATTGGCATTAATGAATTAATTAATCCTTATATTTTTGTAATTGTTGAAGTTGATCAGATTATTTTTTTATTTCTTATTCAGCATTTGTAAGCTTCTATTATTAATTTAAATATTCTTATTTTCCATTCTTCAAAGTCATAGCTAATTTTTCTATTTCTTTTTATTCTAATTAAATTAGAGACTAATAAGTTACATAGTAAATTTTATTAGTTTAGATTTTAAATAGATTCTTCTAATTTTAATTATTAATTTTTAGTACTATAAAGTTCTTTCTCTTTAATTTCTAATTATTTGACCTATTATTTTAATAATTCAATTTAATGAGCTTAATTAGTAATTGTTTTCTAATAAGAACTCATTTATCCTTATAATTCTGTAATTTATATAGTTGCTCTATGTAATTAATCATTAGAATTTTCTTATTATTTTTTGAATTCAAAATTTAACATATCTAATGTAGCTTTCATTTTCTTATTATCTAAGTACAATTATTCTTATTATTCACGATGTTATTCAATTTTAATATCTTTTTCTCTCAATTATTATTTATATATTTCTATATATTCCTTAAAATTGCTATTTTCATGTTCAGCAGTATTAAGTTAGACTAATTGTCTTTTTTAATCTTAAACTTAATCTTAAAGTTCTTTAATTTATTTATTTAATTCATTTGATTTAGAGGACAATATATTATAATCTTCCAACTTCTTTTATAATTTCTCTAATTCAGCTAACTTATATTGATTCTCTTGGAGAGCTTCCTATTTTCTACGAACTTCTGATTTTAACTTAATTATCATTTCCTCTTAATAATCAAATTTGGCTTTAAGATCTTATTCAATCGACTTTTGGTTTTTAAACTATTATCTAAAGGATTAGAAGGTAAACTGAATACAATTCAGGTTGAAGTTAATCGATAACTTTTTTGAGTTGTTAATTCTCATTCTATAATTTCTTCACTTGTGCTCTAAGTAGTAATAATTATGTTACTTTAAGTCTTCACCTTCTTCCATAAGTAACTATTGCTTTTCAAGAAGCATTTACTCTTGAGGATTTATTTAATTTATATTGTAATTAGACCTAAATGATTAATCTTTTTGGGATAAATTGGATTATATTCTAAATGAGAAGCAATAATTTACGATTATTTATCATTTTCCTTTGTCTAAGGATGTAAACTATTGAGATAAAAATCAAAATTATTACAGGTTTGCTGGGAGTAATGTATTAAAAGGTTATGGAACTGGAGTAGGTTATTAATTTGTATTATTGTCTTTAGGTCTTGTAAGTGGACTTGGAGATGGAATATCTTTCTCTTTCTAATATTCATTTTATGCAACATTCTGATAGGAAAGCATTTATTATTCCAAATGTAATTATTAACAATATATGTAATTTTCATTATTCAGAGGGAAGGAGCGAAATTCATCATTAATTTAATTAAAATGTCTCAAATTGACCCTTCATATTTTGAAAAGCTCAAAGATTAGCTTAACAACCTAAACAACAACAATGAGAGCTTCACAGAAAGGAATATCTTTGAAATTCGAGAACGATTAGGTCGAATTTCAGAAGAAGTACATCAAGAAAGAAATCGAGACACCAATCATGTACTCTATTTATCTGACTTATTTATAGCAAGTCCTTTAAAATAATTAGAAAATCTTTGTTGAGAATTGCTTGAATTTTATTGTTTATGTCCTTTAACATGTTGAGCCTTAGACAACTCGAAATACAAAATTCTTAATTAGGGCTGCCATCTTAGAATTATTACAAAAAAAGATTCTGTTATAACATATGACATACTAAGTAGTGGAATAAATGACTGTTGTATTAGAAAAAGACAATGAAAATAATGCAGCTGTAGCCATTCGCATTATTAATGATCTTCTTAAGTCTAATCAATAATAACCACATCAATTTTAAAGATCAAATACTTTATTTTCAGATTCATTACTATTAAGACTCTATTCATTTTTTGAGTAAAGGATTGAATTCTTGGTTAAATTTAATAATGAACTCAAAAAGTCTTAATATAAAAAACTATTAGGAGATAATTAAAGTAATCCATTTTAAGATCAGAATTATGTCTTATAATCAGATATTGAAGATAAAAGAGAGAAGGATATTAGACTTAATATTTATAGTTTATCTTTTGTAACTAATATACCACCTTTCTTTATTTATACTATCTTTGTTTTAGACTCTATAGTCAAAGATGAAGTAATCATTCAATATAATTTAGACTAAAACCTAAATGAGAGAAATCTTAAAGAGAGCCTTAAAGACAATGAATTAAGTGATAAATGAAACCAATTTTCAAGATTTATTGTAGAAAGTCCCAAGAAATATAGTTTAAGAACTTTTTAATGCATACTCAAAATTTTTATAATTACTTGCTCTTACTATCAAAAGGGATGAAAATCAGATGCAGCCTTAATCAAGAATTATTAAAGATATCTCTGATACAATTAAATTAGATTCTGTAGTTGCCACTATTATTAAAACACTTAAACATTGTCCTGTTGATATCATGCATCTAAGGATTGATATCAGCAATCGTCTAAAATAATCTATCATTTAAAAAAGAGATCCTATTTAACAAAATGATATGACAGACAAGATTAATGAAATAAATGCTAATGTAGCAGAATTGATTGATGAAGAAACAATAGTTGGTAAGAATCTAAAAATACCACCTTATCAAAAGACTAGTATCTATCAAAATTGGTTAGATATTGTTAAACATGTAGTTTAAAGTTATCTTCCTAAAAGTGAATAATAAACATAACCACCTAATAACTTAGAGAAAATGTAAACTGATTTCATTAATAATTAAACTTATATGGACAAGATTTTCAATACAATATTCAAAGTGTTATTTGATTCTTCTTTGTAATTATCCATCCATGAGAAAGCATTAGATTTAATAAAAGTGTTTTTAGAATTATTTTCCAAATAAAGTACTTACTTCATTGATAAGATTTTATTCTAATATTACATTGATTAACCTCAACAACAATAATAATAGAATGACTCTATTTTCAAAGAAGTTACAACTCATAGTCCAAAGTATAAATTATTGGATAGGTTATTTTAAATGATTGGAATGAAATTAGCATAAATTAGAAAATAAATTTAATAGATTAAAGATATGTTAAATAGAACTTAGAGATGGGGTATTATCAAAAAAACTACAGCATAAACAAATGTATCTTCAATGCCTTGCAATAATGAACCTTTAAATGAGAGATATATAACTTAATTAGAATAATACATAAAGGAGAATGAAATTGATATTGATTAAAATCTTATTACTTAATAAGATTAAGCAGCTACTTAAGTTTATACTTATGATGATGAGGAAGAATATTAAGTTAATTCTATTAGCATCAATTCATACAGTTAATTTGTAGAATTTGCTAAGGAAGTGAAATCAAAGATATTTGATTAATTGAATGAAATCTTATAGAAATTACTTCACTTTGTAACTACAACTAACAAAGAGATTGTAATGAAGTATAAAAATAGGCCAAATTATTAATTCTCTTAAAGATTAACACCTTTAGCTTAAGCTTCAACTGAAAATAAACCATATTTAAGTAATTTACAATGTCATTATATGTCTAAGATAATGAAAAATGGATTGATGATATTTGATGAATTGCATGATCATCAAAGAAACCATTTTGAAATTTTAGATTATAAAAAGAAAACAATACCTTTATTTATGCAATTCTTTATATAATTTTAAGATCCTATAAATTTTAAGAACATTTTTGAACCAAATTCAAAATTATTGTTAAAGATTTCAGTTAATTTAATAAAAACATGTCCAGAAACTCATTGTCTTCCATTATTATTATAAGATCATTTATAAATATTAAGTCATCCAGAAAATTAAGCATAACCTAAATTATCAGTAAAATATTATATAGAATTTCTTTTGAATTTATATTTAAGAGAATTATAAACAACTCCAGAATTGCCATCTAGATTTGGTTATTGTAGAGGAGGTTAATTGATATAAATGAGTAATTAAAAGACATAAACTGTTTCATAAAAAGATTAAGATGAATATATTTCATTAATATAGAAATTATTAAGAATTCCTATAAGATTATTTCCTAGAGTAAAATGTTAATAAAATGAAGAACCAATAGTAAAACCATTAGTAAAATAATTGATATTGTTTTTTGTAAAGAAATCACATGAAACATATTATCCAATAGACTTTTTAGGATTGTTATTATCATTAGTTAAAAGAATATAGAATAATGATTAAGGAGAAGGATTATCTAAATATTTCTAATAATTATGTGATAAATATGATCGAAATGATAAATAATAGATTCTTTAAAGATAATAATATGAATTATATCATAAATTAAATTTAAGTGGAGTTAATATTGTTTTAAATATGTTTGAATTATTTTAAACTGGTATAGTAGAGATTTAAGATATTGTTGCAGAAGTAATAGCTAATTTCCCATTGTAAAAGACTATTCAAATAAATTTGGCAAAATAATATCCAGTTTTTGCATAATGTTTATTTAGAGCATTGCATAATATATCTACGATTGAAAATTAAGTAATTCAAAAAACATTAATGTTATTGGAAAATATTGTAACTAATTTAAGTATGGAAGAAATGAGAGAATTCTTTGGAGATCTTCTCTAGCCATTCATAGAAAAATTACTTACATTTCCATCAGAATATAAAATGGCAGATATTTATTCAAAATAAGTGAATTTATTTTTGGATCCTTCATTTAAATCTTTAAAAATATTATCTAAATTGGGAGCTTTAGTTAGAAAATCAGAATGGCCTATTGAAATTAAAAGAACTCATACTGATAATCCATTTATTAGAAATTAATATTTGGAAGTCAAAATAGAAGGATTGTAATCTAATTTAAAAATTAACCTATCTGAAACTGTAAGATGTGCAGTAGAGATACTCCAAAATGTTTTAGAATAATAATTGGCTACATATTTATTCAAATAATCTTCAATTTAGCATAGTTATTCAATAGTAAAAATGGTATTGTTAGGATATTATCAAATGCCAATATAATTTGATCATGATTTATACAATTATCAAATACCTGAAGGAATGGCATTAGACATGAGATTATAGTCTCGTTAATGTGAATAAGATTTATTGATGTATTAAGATGAGGAATTGATTTCAGCAGTTACAAAGGTGTTTATTGGTTTAAGCAATTTTCATAATATTATTTAGACATTAACAACAGCTACATTTCACAAGATTAAAGAGGATGTAGAGAATGTTGTAACAACTTTATCTGAAATGTTTTTCATTTAATTAGCAGATGATCATTGTGAATAAATTCAATAACTCAAGTAAACAAAACCAGATTTAAATTCTCTTTATGCTATGACAGAAGATATTGTATCCAAATATTTGAGAGATAAACCTTAATCTATTAAATGGATTTCTCATCTCTTTAAAGGTTTAAATAAGAGATATATGCTTACAGCTGAAGAGAATATGAATTTCAAAGATTTTTACATTCAATAACATGAGTTTATTTGGAATAAACTACTTATGGGAAATTGTCTTAAGAAATATAAGAAAATACTGGGTAATCATATGAAAAATAATAATGAAAATATGTCATGGGCTTATAATGTCTATTATACAGTTATTGTTCGTTTATTTGAAGAGTTTGTTTATGAGAAGTTTGGTAAGTAAACATAATTATAAAAAGAGGATGATCGTCGTAGAAAAATACAAATCGTTTAATGTAATTATTTTAATATTCTTAGCTTATGGAGGAACAATGATACCATCTGAGGGATTGAATTGCAGATCAATTTCAATTGAATTACTTACTGAAATCCAAAATCTTAGACCTAAATTTGAGGATTATTACACATCAAATTAAATCATTGGATTACCATACATACCTGATCAAAGAGTTGTAGAATGTTCATTTATTTTATTAAGATAATTATCAGAAACCATAAGAGTTGTATCATAATAACTTACTAGAAATTTATTATTCTAAACACTGAATTAGTTGATTGATAATCTTAATTTTGATCATTCAAAATATCCTCATTCTCATTAGAGTACTCTTATGTTATCAAATAAATTAAGAGAATTTGTAAAGGTCATCACATAAAACTGTCTTACTTTCAAAAAATCTTTGTTATAGATTTGTACTGAATTATTTGATCACATAATTGTCAATTACTATTAGGGCAATGCTGGACCACTATTTTATATGAATATTGGTGATGGAATGAATTCTATATTTGAAGATTAAATATAACCTATTCCCTTAGATGACATCATAGGATCCAACTAACCTTAATTATATTGGGTGAA